AAGGGTAAATACCCTACGGTAGTCTGAATCGACCTAACTTATCTCATGAGAACAACCTGTCGATCTATCTACCATTTGTGTAGCTATACATCATTAAATACGTTTGATCAGCCTCAAAATATGCACCTAACAAATACGGGCAATGGGAAGAAATGTTCAAGTAAAAAATCACTGGGTTTGGCAAACGAAACCTGGAAGCTTCATGTTTTTACTACAGAAGCACATAACAAGCATTTGTTCACACTCACCATAACCGACCCTTTACGACCTAAAAATTTTGCCTGATTTCCGCTCTGATCTTGATTGATTCCAATCAGAATCTTATTTTTTATCAGTGCTGCTGATTCACTGTTTATCGAGGTCAAATCTGTAGAAAGCATCAGCGGTACGGAAAACATGCACCATAGCCCCATTTGCACGCGTTCTTGATCACGTGACAAGGCGAAATTGCCCAACGCCAAAACATCCAAATCATTCCAATGTCCGGGACCGTTGATGGCTCTCAGTTGTTCCCCATTTTCCGCATACAAGTTGATCACAGTTCTTATGCGCTCCCAATCATCATCCAAATCAGATGTCAATCGCCACATATTGCAATTACGTTTCAGTGCTTCCCAGTCGATTGCCGAATAGTCATTCTGCCAATCAATGTAGGCCGGATAACCGCAGGAAAACAATATCGATCGGCCAGTATCGTTTAGATTCTGAGCGAACTCTGCGAAACCCCTGGGCATCTTATCCTTCGGAGAATTAGCAGCATCCATTTGCACGAAATCCACGTGAAACTCTGCCATTGTTTGCGCGTCTAATTTTAAGTGATTGATACTGCCAGGAAAGTTCCTCGGCGTTCTCTCGCCGTAATCCAAATAGAGACCAAACTTGATTTTGTTCTCACTCAGATATGTTTGAAGTGGTTGAAAACCCTGTTGTCCGGTGGAAATAGAGGATATCAATAACGTGGTGTTGAACAAGGCGTCTATTGCAAGAACGAAGATATAGACAATGTGGTAGATTGATAAATTATTGAGTTGCACCAGTGAAAATAGAATTTTTACACACTTTCAAACCCAAACAAACAATTTGAACGATTTTTATGATAATCCATAATAATCTTCCCGACTTTAGAATCCGTTGCACATCTATTTCAGCACTGGAATAGAACAACATAAATAGGCTGTGGTCGACGTAAACTGGGGTTGGAAATGACAACTTTACAGTAAAATGGTGAAAACAAAAGATTTTCCGAATATTTATTTTATTTATATATATCGTTGAACAGCATCTGGAAAATCACACGATTCTTTTTGTAAAAGTTATAGATTACCAAATGACAACGGATAGAATTCTCCTAATGGGTGAAATTCAAGCTACCGTGGAATCCAGAATCCAGTCTAAATTGAACCGAAGTATTAACAATGTGTGTGACTACCGTGCACATTATCGCTTTCATTTTAGCTTGCATGGAAACAACAGTTTGTGAGACACACGTTTCATCAACTTGCCCGTTAGAACAAAAGCCGACCACACTCGATTTAATTTAACACCTCTGAGTTGAAAACTATTTTCCTTTTCGTTCGAAGAACCATTAAGTGCGAAGAGGTTGTGTACCAAATCTATTGACCAAAACGTAAAACGATCCGGTTTTCTCAGCTCAGCGAAAAAGTATGATAGTAAACTGCTTTCACATACAGTTGGAATCCAAATCTTACCGCTAAAAAATCCATGCGTTCAAGTAAGAGTCATCAAGCATGTTTGCTCGAGCCTTCCAGATTCGTCTCGGTATTCTGTCTTAAGGTATCCAATGATATCCAATAATATAGGCCAACGAAAAACTGTTTTTGTTATTTTCCCATCTGGCTGTTTTCGCGTAAAAAGATTATGCTAAGTACGGTGGAGCTAGAATTCCGTAGGAGAGAACAAGTGTTATGGAAAAATGCATATTTATTTCAAATTGCTATTATCATTATCCGTTTACCGAACCCGTTTAGAAAAATATTACGTGCATCTTATACGGGTCAGAGTTGGCCCAGTGTCATCATCGCTTGAACTTTTTCTATTCCGATTTTCACACAGCGCAGTGTTCCACAATTGATTCTCCTGTTGCGATTCTCTAACAACAAATAAATAGCATTGCATTCAGAACTTATGCTCCTTCTATGTCGGCCCGAAAACCACACGATCCATCGGGTTCATTGATCGATCAGTCGGATAGTTCGGCCGCAACAAGGGACCTACTGTTTGCCCAGCTAATCCGAGCTAGAAATATCACCTTATCTTCGGCAGACCCAGTGAACGTCGGCTGTACAGCAGGAGTACCATCACCGCAAGGATTACTAGACGTGACAACAAAAGCATTCCAAAAGGTACAAGCCGGTAATCAAACAGTCCCGTGTTGGGATGAAGGATTCGAAGTGCCGCAAATCGCGGAAAATGATCTAATCAGAAGGCAGAGAGGGTCTTATGAATTTACTTATTCAGGATCACATAGTTTGCTTGTTTACTCATCCGATAATCGGGATTCCTCGTGATACGGTGTCTAAAGGGGTGTTCGACTAGGGAGTGTAGGCACCTGCAAAAATTGTTTTTGGAAAGAGGTTGGGCAAACGAATTACCACCGCTTCTGCTTTCTTGAGCACCCGATACGGAATCTGCCTTAATCGATCAAAAAATGCTACCGCTTAAAGTTTTTCACAAATGATCCTATCAGCGAAAACCTGGAATACATGTGCAGCGCTGAACAAAAACTAAAAACGATTAACTAGGACTTCCCTAGGTAATGATGATGATGATGAATACGAGGATCATGATGAGGACGATGATGATGTCGCTGATGACGGTGATGCTGATGATGTTGATGATTCTGATGAAGATGATGATAATGACGACGATGACGATGAAAACGATCAAGATGATGATGATTGTGATGATGATGATGTT